TAGAAAACTTTACTTTCAACATGCAGCTCACCAGAGATACAGAAAGCATTCTCTGAGCTTAGTGGTGTTATCAATGGGGTGCTGAGGAAGGAAAATATCTGTGACATTCCTGAGAAAACAGAGCAATCTGGCTAAGGGATTGTGGAACAGCAGAGATAAGAGCAAGAGCTCAGTGGCCACACTGCTCTCTAATCATAGTTTTCTTGAAAGAAGCAGGAGAGTGCATTTTTTGCAAGTCCCTCTCTCTCTCCGTCCTTGTTTAATAATCTTTTCTCACATGCCTGAAAGCAATCTTTGTGTGTCAGAGTTGCAAGGTTGCCTTTACAGCGCCAAGCTAATCGTACTGTACACTGTATTGCCTGCTCTTTTCCCCCACAGGTCATCCACAGGTTTCTAGACTACACCTTCCTGAAGAGGCACTGAGAGTAAGTTTTATGCCCTCTCTGCTCAGGAAAGCTTCCCTTCAAAGAAAATTCTGTGAAAGCAGCAAACTCTCAAAACAGTAAGTAGGGGTTGTGTGAGGTTGAAGCACTGAGCAGCACACAAGTGAAGCTGATTTCAGATTTCATGGTTGTAATGTCTTATTTATTCCCAAATGAAAACAAACAAAACTGTCCAAAACCAAACAAACAAATACCCCCAAAATACCCACAACCCCAAACAAACAAGTAATTTCCTTGTCTTACTAAGATATCAAAGAAGTTCTCAGATGTCAACAAAGGATAGCCTTTCTCCGTTGAGCTAATCACTCTCAGAGCTTTTCCATTCAGCCACACTGTATTTTAGCATTCTCTTTTTTTTTCACATTCTGATCCTGCTTACTCATCTCTCCTAATCTCTTCAGGTTCAAAACCAGGAACTTTATCACTTCAGCTGAAAGATGGACAACTTTCAGATGCCACTGATTCCTTTTTGGTCCAGACAGCATTGCCTACACTCATCTGGGGAAACAAACAAAAAGGATATTAAAAAAGGAACTCCAGGAAAATAACAATGCACCCTAACTGATCTGAAATCACTTTGCCTGTTCTGCATAAGTGCATTTAAATAGCATCACAACAAGAATTTAAGTAGACATTCCTCCTTTCCCTGCTTCCTCTTGGCTATTTCCCTTGTTCCTGAATATTGCTGCCTATGCCATTTACTGCAATGTATTTGACTGACTTAAAACATGCAGCACACAGAGTATAGGCTGGTGGCTATATTGATTACAAAGTTTCTTGCACATTATAAATAATCATACACCTGGCAATTATAAAGAAACCAGAGCATTCAAAATTGAAAAAAACCCCGCGGCATTAATTTAATCCACCTCCACAGGCCATGCAGGCCAGATTTTATTCACCATTACCCAGAGTTTGTTAATGCTCTAGACTGATAAATCCCCAGTGAGGAAGCACTATCTGGCAAAGGGAGACTGACTGTGCCCCCCCTACTGTGATGCATTTGTTTTGTAACAGATTACTTAATACCAATCCCGAGACTCAGGGAATCAGTGTAGGCTGTGTGCCCATTCCACTTCTCAGCTATAAGTAAATATTGAGCTGAAACAGAAGCCAGCCTAGACAAGCTTTAAATTCAGAATTATCAACCTTGTAATTATAGATGTAAAATCTCTGAAAGCAATTGTCTATTTGGATGTGTTTTCTGTGCTCCCAGCCAAGGACTCTGCTATCAGCTGAACCATCCTCAAATTCCATGACGACACAGCCAAGGAAGGTTTGATTACTTGGCTCAGTCCAAAATTTTTCATGAACAGGCTGCTTTGTCTGGACCTGAAGGCACAAGATAGATATTGTGCCCTGTTTTCCAGAGAAAAAAAATAATGCCAACTTCAGAAGACAGAGGAGTATCTTCCACTGCATCTCCTCCTGAGAATGCAAATTCTTGTCATAGAAACACAGAAACTGTTGTTACTCATAGCCTAGCCACTCAACATTAGATGGTTGTCTCATGTCCTTGGATCTAGTCTTGACTCAGACAAGAAGGTAAATAATTATAATTACGGTACTACATTTTTCTCTTTTACCGGTCTGCTTCTTAACCTGATGGTCCAACCTGAGTTAACTTAAATTCTGATTTCTGCTTACTTGTTTATACAAAGCTGCTCCTGACTTCTCTTATTCTGTTCTTTCTGAATGCCATTTGCTTCCCTCTCTTTCTTATTAGGTGCCTAATGGGAATTCAGAGACACCTCATTACCCCAACATTGCCCTCAGCACCCAATTAGCTAAAACCTATCCAAGCAGCAGCTAATTGCAAGTTCAACTATGAGCCTTGGAATTCCAAAGAGGAGTTTAGGAGCTGAACTTTCAGCAAAACAGACTGACTGGCACCTCTGTCATCCAGTGAGAGTCTAGTTGGAGGGATGTTACAAAAACCTCTGCAAAGCAGGTACGGACCTTGCCTGACTTTTTCCAATCCCTGAGACAAACTGTAGTGCTTCCTCTTCCAAAGATGTGAAATCTTTCAATTTGCTCTGTACCACTGGGTCCAGATTTCAGTTCTGATTTTAGGAATAATTTAATTTTTAAGGGTCTGGATGCTCAGACCCTTAAAAAATTTAACTTAGTAAGGCATGTGGTTAAAAGATGATACTACATCTAGCTGGAAATTAGTTTATAAATTGCAATTAAAAAATGCAATTGTAAGGCAATGCTCAGTAAGATGACAGGGTGCTAGAAAATGCTAATGAGCCCTGGTGAGTCTCCAAATGGAATTCTTTTTCATAGGAACTTTTAAAATCACAACACACAGGGTGTTTGTTTTCTTTTTACCATTCCTCCCATGAGCAGTTTTCTTTCTGTTGTGCAGATAAGACACTTTAATGAACTTTCTCTTCAGTTTTATTATCTGTATTCTTTCACCTTCCAAATGCCACTAAAAATCTTTGATCAGAAACCACCAGAACACCTCCTGTAGGTCTCCTTTGGCTATACGGCAAAAAAAGTTAGGGAAAAAACTTATTTTCTGGCATTTTGCAAGGTTTTTAGATATCAGACACATAACTATTATAGAAAACTATATTTAAAAATGTTTTGTGGCTTTTCACTTGTCTGTTTTAAAAACAAACCATAGTTAAAAACTGATGTAACAAAAGCAACAGCACGGAAGAGATGGCCAAAACCAAACAAGTAATTTTTCTCACTTTTTATTACACACAAGCTATTTCTATTTACTTCAGTTGGTGAAACTGAATGCTTGATGCAGACACCTGACACTAAGGCATGAAAACATGGTTCTCTTTTGAAAAAAACCAGAACACATTTGGGTAACACTACATTTCTCACAGCAATAAACTACTTTATTTATGCGATCTACCACAAAAAAAAAAAACCCTAAAGGGGAAATTTCAACACACACCTCAGTTTTGTGGTTTTCTCAAAGTGTTCTGCTTCTTTGGGTGTCACTGAGCCTGCTGCTTAGGGTAGCTAATCAGAACAGGTTGAGCATCCATTGGTCCTACCAGGAGCAGAACTGCAGTCTGCTGCACATCCTCCAAGATGAAATTCTTGTCCCAGGAATTCTTATAGTTGAATTAAGGTCGCTGATAAACACTGCAAGCCTTAGGACAGGAAGATGAGAAGAGGTAAGTGGTAACAGCAAATAAGTCTCTATATAGCTCATGTTTATTTTGATGACTGAGTGCATTTGCTGAGCCTGGGTAATGATGCATTCACCCAGAAAATCTTGAAGGGGGTCAGTTTTAATACAACTGTACTAAATCACTCCCAGCAGAAGTATCTCATCAGACGGATGACCGACCGTCCTGCTGCTACTTATAAATAGTATGCTCCAAAATGATGTGCATGTTCAAACAAAAACATTCCCAAACACACAAGCAAAATTTCAGTCAAAAATCTACTGGCTTCCAAATACAAGCCCTCACAGGTCATCCAGCTAACAGCAAAACACAAATCAAGATATAAAAGATTGTGGATTGTGGAAATGAAGCTGAAGAGTTTCACGAGATCCTTCATTTCTCTGCTTTCACTTCTTTTGACCGCTGACCCATCTTAGCTAATTGAAAACGCTCTTCCTCTCCGGAGGCAGCCGCAGTAAGAGCAATGTTCCAGCGCGGCACCACAGTCGGAGCTGTCACAGCCGCTGTCCGCACCCAGCCGGCAGCAGCGCTCAGGTAGGAGAGGGAGGAGGCGGGAAGCCATTTCCTACCCTCCCATCCCTGCTCACGGCAGCCAAGAGCACGGAAACTGGCTCAGGAGCTTTCTGAGCTGGAGGCTCAGCCTCAGCACCACTGACCGACCCGGCAAGGATCGCTTTCGAACACGCTTCTGCTTGAAGACAACACCCGTACCGACCGGCTGCACAGCACAGTGCGTGTAGGGGGCGGGGAAGAACCAAAAATCTTAACAACAAAACACCAAAGCTGAGCGTGCCCCAGTCGCGGCCGCGCGGGCACAGAAAGAGGCGCCGCACGGCCGAGCGCAGCACCTCGCCCCGCTCCCGCCCCACCAAAGCGTGACAAGACGCCGGCGGCTGCCATTTTGTGCGGGCGTCCCCAGGCACCGCCCCCCCCGCCCGGGCTCCCCCCTCCCCTCCCCCGCGCGGCTCGGGAACGCGCAGGGCGGCGGGGAGCGCGCACGCCGGGGGCGGGGGAGGGGCGGTCCGGAGGAGCCGCGGGACCCCCGGGCCGCCGGCGCCATCATGTACCGCTCCAACAGCGGCCGCTCCGGCCCCTCGTCCTCGTCCTCCTCCCACCGGTCGAAGGAGGGCGGCTCGTCGGCGTCCCGCGCCTCCCGCTTCAGCACATCGGGGCCGGGGCCAGGCCACGGCCGGCCTCCCCCGCCGATGCCCGCCGCCGCTTGCGCCTCCGCCTCGCCGCCGCGCTCCGCTTCGCCCCGTCCGCCGCCGCTTCGCCGCCACCGCTCCCCATCGGGCCACCGCGGGTCCTGCCGCCGGTCCCCGTCACCGCACCGCAGCCGGAGGTTGCCATCGCCGCCGGGAGGAGCGGGGCTCGGCGGGCCCCGGGGCCGCCGGGGCAGCGAGCACGGAGACGGCGGCAGCAGCCGGGTAAATACTGCCGTGCACCGAGGGGGATCGGTGCGGCTCCTGCCCCCTCGCCCGAGGGGCTGTCAGAGCCCCAGACTTGGCTCGGCGAGGTCCTTGCAAAATTACACCGGCCCCGGGCTCTCCGTGTGCGGAGGGAGAACGGCAATTTCCCCCCTATTCCTTAGAGAGCCAAGTAGGAAAAAAAAGATTACCGATTTCCATTTTAAGTGATGATTTCCCACTAGTTTCCATTGTATTTTTATTTGTCTTACTGGCTAGAGCCATTTTAGAGAAGATTCAAAGATGATGTTGTCTTTTCGCTAAGGCAGAGGATGTAAGTAGTCGTTTTCCTCCATTTAACACATTGGGTTGTGTTAGTGCATAAATATAGTTTAATTGATGGGAATATAACTTTTTAGATAGCATGTTGATTGAGTACTTCGTCTGAATTCTTCCTGTTGTCACGGAGGGCATACAAAGAGGACTGCTACTGATTTATATCTTTGAGAGGTGTTCTTTGGTAGGCACTGCTTTGTAGTCGGGGCTGTGCACAGAGTGTTCCAGTCTTCTCGCTTTTTCTTGGCAAAGTCTGATTTGGGCATGTGAAGCTCTGTTTTGGCATCTGTAGTGGATGGCATCTTGTATGCAGACACCTTCGTAATAAATCAAAGTGTGAGGACTTTTTTTTTTTTTTTTTTTTTGAGTGAGTGAGTGAGTGGGATTCGCTCACTTAGGTTTTCTCTTGTTACTCCTTGGTGCAGTGATTTTTTTTTTTTTTGTCTGGTGACTGAGCTGTGGTGTGCAATAAGTTCATTGTGCATTTGTATTACCGTGAAAGAAGAGATCTTCATACTGGGATATTCTAGGCAATGGTTGCATGGTCACTCAATCCAGCACAGATACAGTTGTCAAGAACGGTATTCTCGCCTTTTCCTCTTGCTTTGCAGTATATTCTGCACTCTCCCGTGTGCTCAGGGGTGGATTTGTGAGTTGCAGGGTGGGCTAATGTGAGGAAACAATGTAGCTGAAAATCAGTCCAACAAAAGTGGTTTGTCTGCTGATTCATTGTCTGATGGGACTCCCAAGAGAGAATGGGGATTGTCCTTTCTCATGGTGATACAGGTTCTTACCGGATTTATTTGCTGCAGCAATAGAAGAGGTCACAGGTGATTGTAGTGGCATTAAAATTCAGGTACTGGTGTTATTTCTTATTGAAAGGTGAACTGTCCTGGAGATGCAGGAAGATAATGTTGTCTTTAACAGTTAAGCCAAGCCAGGCTAAGAAACTTGCCTCTGGCCATTAGTTTTCACATGGTATTTCACCCTTATCTCCATCCTCTTTAGTTTCCTGTATGGTACTCTTGCAAATTGCATTACTAGTAACATCCATGATGAAAATAAGTACCTTTTAAAAAGGAAATGTTTTTCTATCTGATTCATGTCAGTTTGTGTTGTGGCTTGATGGACATGTTCACAACTGATGGGTGACAACCTGGGATACAGGACAGAACTTTCTTAAACTGACTTCACCATCACTCAGTCTCCTATTTCACTGTAGCCATGATAGGCTGTGAGCCTGTGCTGGCTCTGACAAAACTCTCAATGCTGACTGTGTTGGTGGTTCAGACTTGGAGAAATTTGATCTAGGAGTTTTGACTGGAAGCCTCCCACTCCCTCTTGAATGGGGGGGGGAAGGCCACCAAAAACATCCACTTTACACGAGCATTATTTTTGACAAACACTGCTCTTCCAGTGTTATTTTACACCCTCCTGGCTCAAGTTAAATCACTCATCTCAGCAAATTGTTACAGATTAATGATATCTTTCTTGCCTATTTGAACTTCAGAGAAAGATTGAAAAACTATTAATCCTAGAAATTAGGTGTTAGCAGGTTAGCTAATGCTGTACTGATGAGCCAAATGGATTTTTTGTTTATTTACAGGATTACTGCATTTAAGGAAAGCCCTTCTGTAGGAAGCAATTGTCACAATAAGAGATCTTGAGACAATTAAATAGAGCTCTTCAACCTATATTGTGCTGACTCATGCGTTTGCTAAACTCCCAGTGTAAGTAATTCTTAGAGTGTAACATCCACATTTTTTCCGTGGAAGCTTTTGTCCTCCAACAGGTGTTTGACTGACAACTGAAGATACTACTTCTTCAAAAGTGATGTTACAAAGAATAAAATGCGTATTTTGGTTTGTTTCACTTTTTAAAATTTGTGTTTATGAAAGCAGCATTAATTAGAGAAGGATAAAATATGGGATTATGCTGTCGTTTTCCAAGGAGTGGAACTAAATGTGATGGAAACACAGCAGACAGCAGATATGTTGGCTTATCATGACTGGTTAGGGTAAAGTTTTAATAAAATTTTTAAAGTTTTATGACTTAAGAGCCTCTCTCTTCTGAAGCTTGAGAATACAAAATGTGGAGATGTGGAGAGTTACACAAATATATTAGTAAGTGGGATTTTGGAGCTGTCACTGAAAGGACATGAATTCAGAAGCCTGAGGATGAGGAATTTAAGTCACAACAAGGAAAGAGGACTTGAAAGAGGGGAATAGGTGCATAAGGGTGGGAGATGTAGTATGTAGAATTGAAGACACTGATGGGGTAAGGGCATGGGCTTGAAATGGAGAAAATATTTGAGTACAACTTCCAGATTATTGTCCCTATCCTACATATGAATTGGAGTATGAAAGCCGCAGCCTTAAAGATTTCTTACTAAATTTTCTTGATTTGGGGAGTTGGTTTGGTTTTTTGTTGTTGTTGTGATTTTTTTTAAATTATTTGTGAGATGGAGTACATGCATTTCCAGGTTACAGCATTGTTGCTCATTTTGCTCATCCCAGTGCATGACTGGGATGCTGGCAGTGGAGCCATGTATTGGATGTTGTAAGTAGTGATGGTGTTAGTTTCTTAATAGCTGAGGAAAACTTTGTGGTGATTGGAAGAATGTGGAGTGATAGCAAAGATTTGGGGCAAGTACTGGGAAATGTCATGGAGGAGAGGAAGGTCAGGGCTTTACAGTGGGAGATTTTGGCAGACTTTCATTTGTTCTTGCAAGGCTGACACCTGCTGCTTTTATTTATCCATGCTGACCTGCGTGCTTGTTCTTTTTAAAGGTTTTGTTTTAGCTTCTTTGCTTTCTTGTAAGAAAATTGGCTGAGATTAGAGGACTGGAGCATGTGGGGTCAACAGAGAATGGAGAAATGACAAGCAGGTATGCAACCTGTTCGGTAATATGGCACTGGTAACTGTGGCTTAGGTGACAGAGCAGGAAGGGAGAAAAATGCAGTGCAGTGCACACATAGGTATGATTAGTGGTGGTGTTCAGTGCTCCAGATACAAAAAACTTTTAAAACTGGAATTTCTCCAATTAAAAAAAACAAAATCCAAAACTAAAAAGAATCATGAAGTTCAAATATTTACTGCCATGACTGCTGTGTCTGGGTAATTTGTATAGGTCATTGCTTATGACTATAAGCAATCCAAACATCCCAAACATTCTTAATGTCAACTGTTTCTTTCCTTTGCCCAGAGTTTGTTCTGGGATGTAATCATCACTTTTCTGTCTTCAGTGGAGGTGATTGTCACCTATATGCCCACAGTCTTGATGACAGGAAGATGGCCTTGAAGATAGTAATTTCTTGAGGCAGCCCTAATTCAGTGCTAAAATGGACACAAGAGAGCATTCAGAATGTATTTGTATGCAACACGTGCACCTTGAATATGTTGTTTCTCAGTCAGGTTATTGCAGAATCATATTGTGCTGGACAAGACAGTTGGTCTTAAAAAGTAATTATAGTGTGTTCTGATAAATGGTGGGATTCAACTTAATGGGACAAAACAGAAATCACTAATATGCTACCTTAGAATAAAGCTATATGCACAATGGTTTCTAGTACAGATTTGTACTAGAAGTGAATTTTGTTAGGTACACCTGTAAAGGAATTCTTTAGCTTTTGTTGGAGATTATGCATTGTTTTTTTGGTCTCTTGGAGGACTGAGCTGAACCTGCTGCATGTTCTCAGGGTGGATGTGGGTAATTCAGTGCACCTGCTGCTTGCTACTGCAGTTCTCAGCAGTAAAAGCAGTGTGCAGTGCATGACTGGTTTGGCAGAACTGAAGCTGGTTCACTGCTTTGTGCTAAGCAGAATCTGTATTGTATTGATTTAAAAGAGCAAATCACGTATCTCCATCTTTAGGCAGTCTTATCTGTTTTTTATGGAACCCCCCTTAATTCTGATAATTCTGTATTCCAGAGCTATATTTTAGAATAATGTGAGGCATAACTAGTTAAGCATAACTTAGCAGTGATTGTGTTTTGTGTACTGTGTTTGTGTATAAAGAAAGGTCTGTAAGGTCAGAGGTAGTGAGGTCAGGTCTTCTCTGCCGCAGATTTTTCAGAGGCAACTTTATTTAGTTTACTCTGGTTTATCTCTACCAGTAATAAATAATGGTAATGGGAATCTCAGACAACGATAGAAGGTGTTTCTAGTGGTATTGGTGTTTTTAGTATTATGTTGTGCTTATCTGCTGAAAGCAGCATGAGGTGAGGAAAACTGCTAAAAAACATCACTGCTTGGAAAATCTTTGTTTACACTGGTTTATACTTTAGTTCATGTTGTTACTAAAGTTGTAAAGGGCCAGAAATCCAGACACTTTATTAAGAAATTCCTGGCACTGTTTTTTATGCAATGTTTATTTAGCTGCTTCTTTACAAAGAAAGGAGAACAGCAGCAAATTTGGAACTTTGTGACTTTCTCTTTGGTTTTACATCTTCCAAAATGGTGGTTTATGAAATGTATTTTTGAGTTGAAAGTTTAAATATAGAGCATGTTATTAGCACCTGGGATGAGAAGTTAAATGCAGTCAATACCTTCCCCTTTCTTTAGTAACTAAATAGAACTGAAGTATTTGGAACAGTTAGTTTCTAGTTTGATTTTTTAATTGGTCCATCCCCCCAAGTTGAATTTATTAAGCACAGCAGAATCACTTTCCTTTCTGTAGCTGAGATTAAAATCCCGTGATTGATGGGCTTGCACTCTTTCTTCAATTTACAGAGGCGTTCACCGAGTCTCCGCGCTGAGTCTTCACTGGAACACAGTTTACGGATTACTGTTGGTAATGACCGGTATTGCATTGGCACACCGGAGCGAAGGAGGCTGCCTGATAGACTGGGCTCACCAATTGATAACCTGAGTGACAGGTATGCTCCTCCACAGGTGGGGATTCACGTGGGTGAAACAGCATGGGAATGCCTCTACTGGATGAGGCCAAACATCTTGTTAGCCCACTGAATGCCTAGGGAATGAGGGTCAGCATGTAGTGATGCTTCCCGGGAATATTCCTCCAGCCTCTGGCAAGTTGTGGTGCAGGGAATTTCTGATCAAAAGTCTCTGCCTATGTAATTCTAAACAGATAGTTCTTCTCTAATTTTTGTCAACTGCTTCTAAACCCCATGTAAACTAAGTGTGCACATCATATATTGCAGGAGGGAGTGTAATGTCAATCCCTCTGGTGCTTCCTTCCCTTTAAGGGTGGGATGTCACATGAAGACACTTCATTTGACATTTCACTGCTTCAGCCACCTTCTGTTTCTTATGAACCTACCTGGTCCTTACTAAAAGGAAGGTTGTTTAGTGTAAGGATAGTGTAAAGCTTCTACTTCCTCATTTATTGGGAGGAATGGTCTACTTTCCTGATGTTTGAAACTAGTCTAGAGGAAAACTCTAGAGCAGCTTGAAGGAGATTATTATTTTGACTTTAGAAACCTTGCAGAAGAGAACATAATTAGACAGTCTCATACATTATAAAGGAAGTGTTAGAATTCTTAGGATCCCTTGACTGAAATTGGAGAGAATTCTTTTATGTTAAAAATTCTGCTGTGAACAGTGAAGTATAAATATTAGTAGATACAATTTGGAACTCTGCCTTCAGTAGGAGAACCGGTATAATCTGGCAAAAGAAAGAAAATCAGAAAACTGTGCAAATAATTCTCTTTGTCTTGAATTGCAAAATTAAAGATGACATAGCTTGTGCCCTGGAGCATAGAGTTGTGCTTTCAGGTCAGGGATAAGCATCCAGCACAGAAAAAAAACATTACCACTTCCATTTTTGATGCAAATATCATCAACTGTTAAAAAAAAAAGAGATGAGAGAGAGGGAAGTGAGCAGAATTAATGAATTTCCTGTCTTTCTCAGGTGCAGTTAAGTTTCAGCAGGTGTAGAAAACCAAATGAGAGTTTGGGTTTTGGTACTGTCACTTTTAGGCCTTTACCTCAGTTCTCCTGGCATCAGTGTTTGACTTGTAAATCCCCTGTGCAGTCTGCAATCTTCTAAATGAAATGAGTGTGTATGCTTAGGGGAGAGTACAGTGGTTGGAAGGAAAAGGAAGTTGTATGTCGGGAACTGGCACTTCTCTTGCAAGTTAAGGAACATTTGGGGGCAGGGGATGGTGGTATTTGTCCCATGGCGTCATGTTCTCAGGTGAGATTTTAGATTTAGCATGTTCTGTAGTGCTGATGCATGGTTAGAAGTAACATCAGGTTAAACATGGAGTTTATTTAATGTAAGACTGAGAAATCACAAAAGTTGACTTCTCTATTACAGAACCCATAGATGTGAAAAAGAATGGTAAGGATAGACTCCAGAGAAGGTTTAAAAATGACAGATGAGTTAGAATGAGAAGAAGATAAAGTGAGACCATGTAGACTTTAATCTTTAAGTGACTTCCTTGTATTTGTAGTGTAAGTATGCAAGAACTTCATGTTGTTACATTTACTTATTTTTTTATTTTTTTTGGTCTAATCTGTGCCGGCTTTACTTTTCTGAGAGATGCCCATTGTCCAGAAGCTTAAAGTATGTGACAACCAAGTCACCTGTTAGCTTTTCCTAAATCATCTAGGTACTACTTCTGAATTCTAAGTTTCTTCACTGCTAGCCATTTTATTTGTTTTCAAAAGACAGTTGGTATTTGGTTAAGGACATTGTTTATCAAGTATTTTTCATTGCACTTTTTTTCCCCTATTTGAGAGGCTGTCCTGGTACCGGGACACTGACATTATATCTGTCACTGGGCTGTAAAATGGTCCTTATTGTTGCTGCTCATATTACATTTTTATTTGGCATATGGTACATTCTCATTCTAATTAAAAAACAAAAAAAGGCAAAAGAAAAAAGTGTTTCCTGAAGATGTCTCTTCAAATTTTGAAGTAATTGGAGCAAATAATTCTGAATTTAGTTATTCTCAGCTATTTTTGCTAACTACTCTATTTTGATATTACAAAAAATCACTTTGACACATTATTCTCTGTAATTTGTAGGGCCTTGGGATAGTAGAGAGGTTCATTAGTCTATAAAGGAAATAAAATACCAAAGGAGAGAAATCAGGGAGGCTTTTAGAGTCTCCTGCAGTGAATTTTCAGGACGCCTGAGGAGACTTTCTTAGGTTGCATGTTCACATGCAGGTCCTAAAATGTCTGGAAGAACTTGCCCCAAATTTCTAGGGCAGCTGGTCTCCTGGACATGTCTAAAGAGGCACACTGAATGCTGCTGGACTGAGTCTTCAAGCTAAGCAGCTTCAGTCTCCTGCTTGGACCGATAAGTGGTTTTTCGTCTTCCAGAATCTCTGTGTGAAAGTGAAAAATAAATATTTTCCTCTCTCCCTGTCTGCCATCTCTCTGGCTCTCAGTATTTTTAAGACATTCTGGTACTATCTGAGCTGGTACAAGCCATAGAGGGCATCCCACCAATTCTTTCATCTGAGGTTAATACAAAAGATAGACCAAATCACTGCAGAGACTTGGTCTGCATTAAGCTGTGTTCTGATATAGCGTTTTTTGTTCTAATATCAAGAGTAACAGTTGACTTGAATATGAACAGCTTATCTGACTCCCTGTTCAAAGACTGGGTATTAAAGTGGAGTCCTGTTGATTGCTGACAGCAGAATGACACTATTTATTTCTATTTCTGTGTATGTGAATAAAGATGCCAAAAAGTAAATCACCTTACACTAGTTGTAGGTCTCTGAGGCATCATGTGTGTGTAGCCTGTGGTCTGTTTTCCATCTCTGTATCCAGTGATTAATGGATTCTTTGTTGGTGAAAGAATTGGGATAGTCACAGTGGTATCCCCTTGTATCTTCTCTTGGGGGTGCAGTAGCCAGTAGTGGATGTAACTGGCTGAAAGCATCCAAACCAAGTAAGAGGGATGTAACTTTATTGGACTGTATGCACAGAAAACATGTTTCAAAGAATCCTATAAGGCAAGCAATCATTTTTCCCACACTTGTATTTAATTTTCAGGTTTTATATTTGCATTTTAGTTGTTCAGAGTGTATTTGGAATGTCTTGCTAGTTTTAAATGTAGTAGGTTTGCCGTTCCTTTCTTTCCAAAGTATGATTAAAAATTCCTTTGCTTTGTCATTGGCATCAGAGTGTTTGAATTGTAGGTGACGGCTGCCAGACATGCGTCTAAATAATTTTATTTGCACAAAAATCAGCTGAAGGTATATGGTGAGATACATCTGTTACTCCATCAGGTGTGTTCATGCAGCTTGTACAGGTTAGCAGGCTCTCAGAAAATATGCCACTGGGATTATACATACCTTTATGTAGGTTGTGAAAGCAACATTTATTTATGAAATTTCATTTAGCTATTTTTAGATACTTTTGTGCTTTTTGAGGAGGTGAATATGTGTAGTTTGCTGAAAACTGGAAAGATACCATGTAATACAATGGGTAGAGGTGCATGTCAGAACTGTTTTATATGTTGGACTGATAAAGTATCTAATAAACGCTTTGCAATGATGCAAGGTAAAGTGAAGTTTAGTGATGTTCTTAAATATGCATGTGTAAACTATGAAAATACCTAAGAAAAAGACCTTGTTTGTGCATCAGTTATTTACTCTGTTGTGAAAAACTGGGGCTGTAATTTATTTGAAGATTTTTTTTTAATGGCATGACTTGATTTGTCCCTTCTCAAATCCTATTAAGGGACCTTTTTGAGTAGGAGGGGATGATTATTGTGAATTCAGGCCATTATGCATAGTTTGTCTCAAATTGATTCACTCAGGAAAGAGTCTGCTGTCTCATTGATGTCACTTGGGGAGCACATTTTCTTTCTTGGATGATCTTGATAGATTTTGAAATATCAATGAGTAAAACCAGCACCTGGTAACTTTTAAAGTGGTTTGGTTTGTTTCTGCCTTATCTGAAGAAAAGTCCCAGAAAAGTTTTTAATTGTAGGTGTTTATAGGAATAGGTCCAAAAGTAGATTCTCCTAGAGAAGAAGCTGGTTATTCTGATGTTGTGACAGTGGCACATCCACTGTGTGTAATAATGCAGGGGCTGGCACAAAAGAATGTGTTACATTACAGTTAATCTTCCTTGTTCATAGATATCAGAAACCATGCTTTTTTTAGGTGTGGCGTTCATGTGATTAGTGATAGTGCTGACTGCATACCTGTTGCAAACTAAAATGTTGATAGAATTTGTGGTCCTTGTCCACAGCTGAAGATAAAAACAGGATCTGGTTGCATTTGCCAGTGTGAAACTGAATTATACCTTAAATAATTCATAGGAAATCTGACCTTGGCATCTTACTGGGAGAGGCAAGGAAAGGGATTGTGGTCTGACATATGAGAGTAAGGGTTTTTTTAAAAACGTATAGTCTCTCACATTCACAGAAATGAATCCATCCTATCAATTTTTCAAGGCTCTTATTCCTCAGTATGAGTTGAATTTTCAACCTGTCACTGTGTTTGCAGATAACTTCCTAGGAGGGATGTACAGTACCACTAAAAATAAGCCTCCCTCTCTGCCCTCCTTTTAAGTACATAAAATGTTGGTTCTATTTAGTGAGGGAGATGGTTTTTTGAAACTGGTTTGGAAATTTCTTACACTTGAGTAGGAGTAAGACTTGGTTTACTCTGATTCAAGTATTTCTGTGTTTCTCTTACACAGGGATGATATGGCTGATGGTCCAATATTCACTAGAGGCCTCACTAGAGGCCTTGAGAGATACCCAGCACATGAAGATCAGTCTTCAAGTCCCTTCATTCCGAGGCATGACGAAGACTACCGCAACCGAGATGTTTTCCTCCACCGTTCAGATTACAGTCCACACTATGGCCGTCGGGAGGAGCTGCCTCGTGCATCTGACAGAGATGGTGACAAACTGAGGAGATCCCCCTACCCACTGAGGCCAGAGGACAGGGGTCGAGAAATAAAGCGTCCACGGTATGAAAAGGATGAGAAGATGCACGGTGTGAGTGGAGAGCATCCAGGTTTCTCATCAGGAACACGAAACTACCGCAGACGAAGCCGCAGCCGTAGTAGAAGCCTGAGCCCGTCATACCTGAATGAAGAATTCCGAGAGCTTGACCGTGCAAGGAGGAAAAGAGAAGAAGAAGAGCGCAGTAGAAACTTGAATCATGATGTTTCAGGCAGTGGCTATGCGATCCCTGGCTTGACTAACACAATACAGACTAATGAGCCTCGGTATACATACAGGCCTGAGGAAATCCCACCCATGCCCAAAAAATCTATTTTGAAGAAACGAGTAGAGATGGAAGCAGAGTCTGCTGTTCAGGTTTGGTCTCAGTGTGTCTGTGCTGTCTATGTGCTTCTACTTCCACACCAGTTACTTCATGATACAAAATGTTTGTTTCATTTCAAAATAAAAAAGCCAAATCTTTGTTTCTCTGTCCTTAAGAGGACAGGTGTCTTTCTGCAAGGCTGTATAACTTCAAAGTGCATTAGAAACTTTAAATGGTTATGGCATTTAATCGGGAATCATATATATATATATGTAATCTGAGACAGATTAAAAAGTCTTCGTGGAAATTCAACCCAGGATGCAGTGATCTGGGCCAGCTTTCACAGAAGAGCTGACTCTGATAGTACCACAGGCAGTCAGCATATTAGTTGAAGCTCTTCCCCTGTCGCAGTGTCTCTTTCTTGTTTCTTTATAGACCTGGAGAACTGCCTAATGCATCCTCAGTACCCCTGTCTGAAAACAACTTTTAAATTTATTTTTTTCCTGTTGGACTATAGGGATCAGCCCTACTAAATTTGTACCAAACATAAACCAACTGAGTCTCAAAATTAGAGCAATGGACAAATAAGTGGCTGTGACTACTGTGATAAACAGACTTTTTGTGTTTTAACACATCGCTTTGATTTGCCTGTTGTACTGATCAGTGTTGGTTTGACAGTGACGTATTTATCTCAGGAGTGCTCTGATACTGAGGATCTGTTACTGTTACTGGAAGTGCTATTTAATATGGCATTAATTATGAATATCTGAAGAAGTGACTGAGAATAACCCCAGTGCAGTAGCTTTTACCTGAATTAAGGTATTGAAATCCTGTGTGACTATGACTAAACTCAAAGCATGTCTAAAGTTATGTAACAGGGTTTCAATTTCAACATTTCAGTTCTTATGCTTTCAAAAAATTTGTGAAATGTGATTGTGATTTCTCTGAGATAAGCATTCATTGTTGGACATGGCATTCCAGAATCATCAGGCAACTTGGTTTGTAATCTTCTGTGTTCTCTTTCAACTGTATATTGTCTCTTCTAACACTTTTATTCAGCTGTGAACTCAAGGAGAGAGGAGCATTTTCCTTTGTTCTGTGAGGTGCATAGTGTCTTAGAAGTAAATAGTATCTTCTCTCTTTCAGCCCGAGGGCTTTTCAAGCAGTCCAGCCCCCAGCAAGGATCTTCCTCTTCTTTCTAGTCAGTCGTCTTTGCCCCAGAGCAACAACATAGCTCCTTTTGCCTCTGAAGTGGAAAACTTTCTCAAACGGTTTAACAAAGGCTCTGTTGTGGAGTCTTCAAATAACGATTTGTGTGAAGGTTTGTATGAGTGGAACCCACTCTCTGGGCCTCCCAAAGACACTTTGATGTTTGAAGAGAAGTTTGGAAGCTTCTTAAGTCACAAAGAAAATGCAGAACCCAAGTCAGAGCCCACTGATCGCCATACTGACTTCCTGCTGCCTCATGAGAGGGCCAGTCAGGATGGAAGTGGTTTCTCCCGAATTCTGGGCATGATGGCTGATTCTGTCAGTGCTCAGGAGAAGAGGAGGCGTAGTTTCCCTGACATTGAGGATGAAGAGAAATTTCTTTATGGTGATGAGGATGAAGAGACCAAAATTGAATCTCTCCCCATAGAGAAGCCCCCAGTGAGTTGTGGCAATGAGATAATAGTACAAAAAATGAGCCCACCTCCTTCTCCTGCTCCAGCTGTCAAGATGGATCCTTTAGAAGAGCCAAATGCAGAGTATGCAAAGATCCATGACTTACTCAAAACTATTGGACTTGACATTGGTGTTGCTGAAATTGGAAAACTGGCTGTTCGTACCCAGGAACGCCTTCATGGCAAAAAGCTGGCATCTCGTTCTCCAGATCGTCGCTCTTCAGACACTCGCAGACTGGACGCTTGGGAGCTGCGCCGCAGCCGGAGCGACACTCGTTCTCCCGAGTCAGGCCAGCAGCATTCAGCGTCCCCTCCGGGCTCTTTCCAGCAGTCTAGAGATGTGCCCTCTCTTCAGAAATCAGACTGTACTAAGAACAAGCCAGTGGGACAGGAGATACCTTCACACGTACCAGAACAGCCTCTTCCTTCTGTCTCTCTCATTCCTTCAATTCCACCAACTCCTCCTAGTTTGCCACCTACACCCACTTCTGTTTCCCAATACCAAATTCCCAACTATTCCCACTACACTGCTGCTCAAATGCCCCAAAACTATCCCCCTCCCACAATGGCTCCTCCAGGATATGATGCATATGGGCACTATATGGCATATGCAGCCCCTGGCTGGCCCATGTACACCCCTGCCCAGCAGCCTAATCCTACACTACCAGAAGCTCATGGTCTTCTCACTATGGCCATGTCGGCGAACCCCACACGTCCCAATCTCCGCGTGATTGAGACAGTCTCTCTGGGAAAGGATGTCCCTGATGTAAAAAGAGATGGTTCTGTGCTTGTTCAAGTCCCTACCACTCCTTCTCATTCCAAAGCACCCCTTCGTCTGTCATCACATCCTCTCAAAAATACCTCAGAAAGGATGTCGGATGAAAAAAATCGGGCAGCTCAAAAGCAGAAGGTATGTTAGGTATTCTGATACTTCAGAATTTGTTGGATTGCATGATTGGTGGGGTGGAAGCTTTTTCCCTTCAGATGCACCTTTTTTTTTTTCTGGGTTGCTCCAGTTTAAAAATAGTGTGACCTAGTTTACTTCTGTTAAAGATTTCAAAGCATTTGTCTGTACAAATCTCTGACATTTGTAAAAAGTGCATTTTAAATCTCCCAAAGCTGTACGCCATCAGCTATGGCAGAACAGATGAAATCATAAACAGAGTTGAATTTCTTTGGACCAGCCAAAATCTTACAGAGAAATCACATGGAGGCTGCAGCTTGGCTTTATTCTGCTGAGATTTAAATATTGAAATACCTGAAGATATCTGGAGATATGTAAAAATCTGAAGGGACAGTGTAAAGAAAATAAAATGTCTTTTTTTACTGATGTCCGGTGAAAGAACAAGAGGCAAGAGGCACAAACTGAAACACAGGAGGTTCCATCTGAGCATGCTACATTTTACAAAATACCGTGGTTGTACCTGTATTAGACATTCTTAAATACATCCTAAAAGATATCATCATTCACCATCACATAAAATCCTCCCTCTATATTTATATTTAATCTCTTACAAAAAACACAAAGCAAGAAGCATTTAGGGGAAACTCTACTTGCAGGCTCTGACACCAGGTCACGTGTGTTAATGTTTTCCTCTTCTAATTATCTTGGTTTGTACAATAATTAGAGAGTAGTAGGGAAGAATGTATTTTAAAATAGGAAACTGTAGTTACACAACTGTCAAAGAACTGGAAGATTTCCAAAAGTTGTTTTGAGTTTTCAGACTAGTGTCCGCTTGGTCTTTGTTGTTAAAACAAGGACATAGAATAATTTGGGTATGAGGGGACTATTAAAAACTATCTATTTCCAGCCCTCCTACCATAGACAGGGACACCTTCCACTAGACCAGGTTGCTCAGAGCCCTGTCCAGCCTGGCCGTGAACACTTCAGGGCTGGAGAGTCCACAGTCTCTATGGGCAACCTGTGTCCATGCCTCACTATCCTCAGTGAAAAAATGCTTCCTTTATATCTAGTTCAAATCTACCCTCTTTTAGTTTGAAACTGTTGCCAGTTTTCCTGTGACTACAGACCTTGTACCCATTTTTCTTTCAAAGCCCCTTTAGCCATAGAGGCTGCAGTATGATCTTTTATTGTGCGAGCCTTTTCTTCACGTGTATAAAGTGCTACATCAGCAGATAAGTGAGCTTCCACTGCTTGCAGGAATAATAATTTCTTCAGCTGACACAGCTGAAATTTTGTTGTTAATGAAATGTAGTACTTTTGGAAGAGTTATCTTGGCTAAAGGTGTGTGGTTCTCTCCTGCCCTGACGTATCCTGGTAGCTCATCTGTGCATCTTGGTAGAACTTCTGAGGCTTTGTCTGCACTACAGAAATATTTTGAGTTGGGCTTAGTCCACTTGGTTTTTGCTGGGATGGCTTGGAGTATAAAAGTTTGCACACTCCACTTGATGCTCCCATGCTGCAGAAAACTCAGAAGGAGAGAATGGTGCTTTGATGATTAAAAAAAATAGAATTCAAAGCCAAAATAATAATAAAAAACTCCTTACGGTGTTTAAGATGTACCTTAACTGTGTTGGTAGAACTACTTCAGGTAGGATTCAGGGATCCTGCCAATATTGACATTGCAATAGTAGAAGTGTAAAGTAGAAGTCTAGGAAAGTCAAGATCACTTGTTTGTTAAGGGAGGAGTCTGTAGAAAGTTTTAAGAGCCTTGTGAAGGTAAAAAATTAGGATTTGTCTCTTGAAAAATGAAGCTGGAAAAGAAACTGAAAGAGCCCTTCAGGTTTCATTTTAGCATAATGCTTTGTTTCCTTCTATGAAAATCAATGAAAACCAGTGAAAAAAGGATTTGTAAGCTCCTGATGCCACAGTTTACTTATTTACCTTATTGAACAAGAAACAGATTTCATGCTGATGTTTCGTATTGAAGCAAAACCTAACTAATAGCTAAAATAGACCAGAGTCAAAGCAGGAGGTAAGGTGAAGGGCTGTGAAGGCTGATGGAACTTGCTAGCTGCAGAGATACTGCATGAGTTTTGAACAGCCATTTGGCATTGATCTTGATTAGCCCTGTAGAAAATAGCCAGCTGAGCCTAAGGGCCTTGGGAAGTGGTGCAACAAACAGAGCAGTTTAGAGGAATACACTTGCCAAAAGAAAAAAAATTGCCTATAAACTGGGTTGAAGCATCACCACACAATACAGTTACCTTCACATACAGAGGGAGAGGTGTATTTATTGTGTTAAAATACTCAAGAACCTTTTGGGAATATCAGTGTTCTGTGTCTGGAACGCTGAGGTCTTCCTATCGTTCTTGCAAGACTGATTAACTTGTGTTGGGAAGAGAAGAAAATCCAGACACCTTCCAATTTATTTAGGTGATAGAAGAGAGAGAAAAACTGAAGACTGATCGAGAAGCACGGCAGAAGAAGCTTTACTATCTCAAGACTGAATTGGACAGGCTTCGTAAACAGCAAGGTAAAGTGTGTTACCCAGCCCCCAGACCCTGCTTTTTTTTTCTCCCCCATTGGGATGTGTCACAAGTCATGGTATCTAATAGGAGAAAGAGGACCAAAATAATAATAGTCCATAATGTATTTTCATACTCCTAGCAATGCACAACTCTTGAGAAAGCAGTGACCTAGTTACTATATTAAGATAAATTACATCAAAATTTGAGCAAACAGTTGCTCTTACATCTTCCTGACTTGACAAGCTAAAGGAATTGTACTTTATGCATTATAGCGGTTCTTTAGAAGAAGTGAGAAATAGTAACTGAAGATGTTATTGTGCCTTTCAATTTTTCATGAATCTTATCTGGAGATGGAAAAGTCCTCTCTCAAGAGAGCTAATTTTTTCTGTCTTTAAAACTTGTTTGGTCCAAGTAAATACTTATTTCCTTCACCTTTGGAAAATTGTACTTTCAGGTTAAAAAAGTTATGTTATTTAACTTTTGCTTGTTTGGTCACACAGGGAAATAGTGATTATTAAATTGATACTCTGGAGCATTATGGTGCCTCTCTTAGAGTGTGTGTTATGGTAGTCCCTATAGAGAGAGGCACATCATGCAGATGTAGTGATACTAGAGTCAATTCCATCTTTGCAACTTTATGGTGAAGACTTAGCCATAATATTTTATATTAGTATTTTACTTGTTGCTGGAGTTACTGTACAGATCTAAAGCCAGTTTTCCTTTTGCATTTCTGACTCTTCTGCTTCCTCAATTGACTCAGGAGAGATGTTGAGGAAAAAACGTCGTGAGAAGGATGGGCACAAAGACCCCTTGTTGGTTGAGGTGAACAGACTGCAGGAGAATATTATGAAGGAGATTGCAGAGCTGCATAAAGAATCTGATGCAGCTGACAAGAAGCAGTCTGAGCTTGACAAAGTAGCACAAATCCTGGGGATTAACATATTTGAAAAACCCCGGAAACCATCTGTGGAAACTAAAGATTCCTCGGAAAAGAACAGCAAGTCAGAAAATACAAAAGGTGTAGAGAAAACATCTTGCTCCAACAAGGTAAAGTCTTACAGTTTTTGTGCTAATGATTTTCCCACTAAGAAAAGAGGGCACTGGGGAGACAGCTGGTCCCAAACATTTACTAAAGGATCATTTGATGTCATTTGTTACCACCTCTCATACACTGGCTTTGATGGTGCATGCAGGTGAGAGTCAATGTATCAGTGTATATAATGTCCCTCAGGTTTTGTGCAGTTCAGCACCACTTACTGTTTTTTATCTTGGTTTTGCTGAAGTGTTGGTTGGATTAAACAGTATCATGAATGTGTGTATCCATTTGGTCTCAATACTATACCAGGAGGACAGATTTTTTTTTTCTCTACAAAATTCCTGTCGTGGGCTTTCAGGGAGGAGTGTTTATATCAGCAAAGCTCTCTGAAAATTGGGAGCATGTTGGTCTTCTCACTGGGTAATGATAGTAACAAATCACAAGGCTTAAAGATGATGGTCAGCGTAATGTTTTTTATGTACATGTGTTCTCTCTTAAGAAATGTCAGTATGCATCAATATGGTTTCTCTGACATGGTCTGTACTGCTCTGTGCTGGATGTATCAGAACAGGCTTACTGCATTCCAGAAGATAGTTTTACTTTGAAAGTAGGATGGATGCTACCATCTGAAAGATTATGCTTGTTATGCTTATTTAGGAGATCAATTATCCTGCTTTTCAGATGTTTATTCAAATAGGTAATAGAAATAGCTAATGGGAAATTGTAGATGAATGTAGATCTTAGCATATGTATTTTTTGCAGAGCGGAAAATGTTAGTAGGGTAGGAGGTATAAGGAAAACTGAGGGGCACTTCATCAGTTTATCTGAAGGGAGCATGTCAAGAGCATGGAGCCAGGTTCTTCTCAGTGGTGCTGAGCAATAGCACAAGAGGCAATGGGCAGAAACTGATGCACAGGAAGTTCCAGCTGAATGTGAGGAAGAACTTTCTGTGTGGGTGACTGAGCACTGGAACAGCTTGCGCAGAGAGGTTGTGGATTCTTCCTCAATGGAGATACTCCTTTACCATCTGGACACAATCCTGAGCTCTGGGATGACCCTGCTTGAGCACAGAGGTTGTGGTCCTTTCCAATCTTACCCATTTTGTGATTCTGTATTTCCTACAAAGTCACTCAAATCTGTTTATCCTGTAAAATTTTCGTTATGCTTTATTGTGGTCCGAGAACTCATTAGGTATCTTTAATTTAAAGCCTTGCTTTTGGGGTTTTTTTTGTTGTTTCTCAAAACATCTCTGAAGTTTACTGTCTACTTACTTTAACAAGTTGTTTGCTTCAGTCACCACTTCATTAAACTAAATTAGGCAAAAATGTTTGTTAAGTCCTACATTGCATTAAGTTATATTGTTTTCTTTTCTTGAGATATGGCACGTGTGAATATATTTCTCATTATTTTAATTTGCATTGTCTGTGTCGTCCAAACCCATAATGACTTAATCTCCTTTTCATAGTTCCTTATTTTAACATGGAAAATTGTGAGTTCTGAACAGGAGCATTTAATATTTTCATACGTATGTAGACACATAGGACACAGCCTTCAGCCTCTAAAATTCACATTGTTGTTCTGATTAACTTTTTTTCCATGAAAAGAAAGATGGTGCAAGCCTTTCAACACTGAGATTGGTTGACTCTGCCAACCTGAGTGCAAAAGCCCTTGCCTTTCTGCTAATTTGCAAGGTACCCTGTGGTCCCTTGCTGCTGACCTTGTGTCTTTGTGTTGTAGTTACACAGTCAGTGCAGACGTGAAGCCAGTTACTGTGCTAAACAGACAGGTCACCCTGTCTGGGCTCTAAATAGTAGCAAATTTTAAAGGCATCTTTGAGCTGGGGTAATGCACAAACTGGAGTTAAGAGTGGGCTATCACCTGTCTATCTGAGAAGCATTGTCTTTTTAAAGTTCTCATTGAGATAGTATTTTATAGGTATATGTGTATAAATAACATAAATATTGATGCTTATGTGATATTGTGAACATCCTTCCATGCACCTCCTGCAGATCATAAGTTGATCTCATTGTTCAAGAGAATGTCTGCTGTGTTCTTGCTGACAGAACACATGCAAATATTCATTTCTTACGCTGCTACCAAGAACTAGCTTATATTGGGATATGGATATCTGTGGGGGGTGCACAGTGTCCTGGCTATCTATTCATTCTTTGATTTACAGTGCATGTTGTGAGGGGTGGTGTCAAGGAATTTCAAGTAAGGCAGATGTTATTTGACAATTTTGCATCTGCTTAAATAAATTTGCTCAGTGCTGGTAGTTAATAGCTTGGAAATCATGCAACCAACTTGAGTCTACTAAATGAACATGCCATTCTTTCCAGACTGCCGTGCAAAATGATAGCATGATGGACTTTATGCCATTGAAAATGTAACTCAAAATACATCTAGTGCTATTGTAATCTAAATTACCAGGGTTCATTCATGGTATATTTCAGGTAATACTTGTTTTGCTACAAGTGTTTAGTATTAATTTTGGATAGAGTCCCGAAATGTCTGCATATCACTATATGGCGTCTTTCTGTACAAATCAATGGAAGTGCAAACATTACATGTTTAAATCACAAGATCCTTCATCTTATATGCTTAAGTAATTAACAAAACACCATCTTTCTTTTATTATTGAGCAACAAATTTTCTGGAGAATTCAGGAATACTCAAATAATCCGATAAAACTGATGGAGTTAGACACTTTTAGTCAACTGGTTTTTGCTTCCTTTACCATTCTGCTTTCATCCAAGCTACTTTTACAGTAACTTCTGAATGCCTGTAGGGGAACCATTTGAGGTCTTTGGGACACTATTTGGCTAGTATGGTAAATTGGAACAGTTATGTGAAACCAATAAAATGGGAAGGGTGCATGCCACAGGGAATTTTGTTCATTTGGTTCCTTGATTACCTACAACCATCCAGCCATTACATCTGGGACCCTTATTGGAAACTCTTCACTGCAGCCACGCAGCATCTTAGTCGGCAATACCAGCTCTCTGAAACAGTGGAATTAACCTGGGCGCTAAAAAGCAGGTGATATATTTTATTTTTTTTTTGGTGTGTACGGCTTCTGCTGGAGGCAGGTTCTGAGTTCTAGAGCATTTTGTCTGTCCTGCCTTGTCTTAGAGAAGTGTTTCCTTTTGTTCAATTTAGGAATCAAAAACTACTAATGAAAAATCGAGAGGTAGAAGCCCGAAGCCAGCAGAATCCTCTTCACAGTCCTCCAAACATCCTTTCCAGCTGGCAAATATTTATGAATATTATGATGCAGGGAACCACTGGTGCAAAGACTGCAATACCATCTGCGGGACCATGTTTGACTTTTTCACACACATGCACAATAAGAAACACAGACAGGTATGTTGCAGGCTTCCTTCACTAAGTGCATTTCATATTGCTATGAATATTAACACAAAAACATACATCACAGTGATGAACTACATTTTACAAGGGAACCTAATAAATAGCTTATCAAATTCTTTTCCCCTAATATTGGACCTTAGCAGTTCTACAGCTACTGGTGTATTCCAAATAGTGTAAATGGGGCCTGTGTTCAGTTTGCTCGGGTTTGCCACTTGTGTTTCACATGTTTACCTGTTCTTAATGGTCACCTACATTTTACACTTCTCACAGGATATTTTGTCGTTGTAAATTGCAAAATGGGAGGGAAAAGAGAGGAAAAATAGTTCCTGTAAATATTTGCACATTGATTTTAATGTTCAGTGTTCTAAAAGGATATTAAAAAGGAAAAAGACAAGTGTACTTGCCTTGCTAGTGTAATATATGAGCCTATATACCTCTGTCACTGTGCAAATAGACCCTGGATCCTTACAACAGACCTTGGGCTTCGAAGACTCAGAGTGAGACCAAACAAGACTCCATAAAACGCATTGATAAGATAACGGTTCCTGCCAAAGGTATGATAATTTTTATTAACTCAGCTATCATCCCTCTTGGCCCTCCAGCAGGTTCCACTTGCTCAGAGAAAGGAATATTCAAAAATTTACCTTGGTATAGGAGCACATATAGATACTGTATTATTAGGAAAAAGGCAAATTATTTAGTTTCTTGGCTGTTTTTGTGGAAAAGGTCATGAAGCAAGAGCATAGGAGAAGTATGGTTTCTTCTTTTTAGAGATTAGTTTTTTATTTTGAATATCAGTTGTCTTTCAGTGTAGTTCTGAAGTAAATTTTGCCAGCATATTAGAATTCAGAGCATGACCACATGAGTTGGCAGTGTTTGGGTAGATCTTGCACAGTATTCCATGCAGTCTTTTAGCAGATTTTCCATTCAGTATGTTTTTAGAAAAGGTCTCCCTGAAAATTGACTTGCTGTAGTGCAGATACAGAGAATCTGAGACAGACATATAGAAGGAGCTGTAACTGAGTTGAAAATTAATATAGGATTTAAAATATGAACGTCTAAAAGGCCTGCTGGTGATCAACTCATTTTATTAATTTGTTACATATTTCTAGTAGTGCCCACTAAAGAAGAATCTGCAGTGTCTTAAATAACTAGTGGATTCTGTAGGCACAAGGATACAATCTGGCTGAATTACAATGAAAATATTTATGTTCTGTTTATAAACCAGGTGTTTCATATTTGGGCAGACTATACCAGAAAGATGGAAAATAGATCAAAGCTGTAGGAAATGTGAACCTACTTGAATACTTGATTACTTTAATAAAATGGAGAGCGCTTAAATTTTGAACCATAGTAATAAAATTCTTCACTTCACATGTTTGGTCCTGGTAGTGGTGGTTCCTATAATGTAACTGTAAGGAGAGCAGCATTAACTGTTCTAAAAGAACATTACTGAAGGTTTTGCTGTTGTTCTTTAACCAACTTTGTTAAGAGCTTGGCATTTATTAAGTCTTGTTTCTCTGATAATTTTCTTTGGCCTTTTCAGGCTCTGAGTTTCTGATACCCATCACTGGATATTATTGCCAGCTCTGTCAGGAATTTTTTGGAGATCAAATCTCAGCAGAGCAGCATGTGAAAAGTCATCCCCACAATGAGAAATATAAGGTTGGTAACTGGTGTACTAGGAAAGAGACGTTCCCTACATTAGCTTCCATTTGTTCTGTCTTTCTTTCCTGAAGAATGACATTTAACTCTTTGGAGTATATGTATTTGGTTATCTTCACTACATTCTACTGAACTAAATAAGCAGAACTTCCCATACATCAATACACAGAGATATTTTATCTGCATGAAGCTGAAACTGTCTACTGTAAAGTGATAGCACTGCTTCAAGCAGTTTGTAGTACCTCAGTTTCTTGGTAGGAAAAAATTCCCTGTTCTCTTAGTGTTGAGATGGCGTTTACTGAACAAGTAAAAATTGTCAGAGAGCTACACTTATTTATTTATTTATTTATTTATCTATCTATCTATTTATTTATTTATTTTTCATAGAAGCAGTGGCTAAAATGTTGCTGTTTATTTCCACAGAAATACATAGATGAAAACCCACTCTATGAAGAGAGGAGAAATCTAGATCGTCAAGCTGGATTGGCTGTAGTTCTGGAAACAGAGCGCCGGCGGCAAAATGAGCTGAAACGGAAACTGGTTGAGAAACAGAAGGAAGAGAAGGATGAGAAAACCCCAAAAATAATAAAGAAGGAGGACGTGAAGAGCATCCCAGAGTCTGGAGAGGGGAATAATGAAACTCAAGGCAAAACAGATTCTTCTGGGCGAAAAGTGGGTATCGTGGTAAAGCTAAAGAAGGAAGAGAAGACAGAGGAGAAGAAAGAAGAAAAGAAAGAGGAATCTAAAAAGGAATCACCAAGCCAGACCTCCTTTGGGAAATTTAGCTGGAAAAAGACCGAGAGAGAGGATAAAACCTCAGGAACTATTCCAAAGGAAGAGAATACAGAAGGAAACAAAGAGGAGAACAAGTGTCAGTCTCTGAAATCCCATATCAAGCCCATTGAAATCAAGCTGTCTGGGAAGACTGTTATTCCACACACTAGCCCATGGGTACCAGTTGTTTCCACACCAACACCAACAAAAATTCTCCCCAATCTACCAGTCCCCACCATGATATTCAGGAAGTCTAATACTGCAACAGTTAGTAAACCACCTCCTTTGAACACCTTTTTATCCATAAAATCCTCTGGGACTACCACCAAACCACTGCCAGTGGTAAAAGAAACAAATGCAGATCTTCTACTGCCTCCAGATATCATATCAAAAGCTTTTGGAGGAGAAGAAGTAATTTTAAAAGGCTCAGAGGAGGATTTGAAAGCAGCAGAGAAAAATGAATCTTCTCAGACTGCTGATAAACTACCTCCATCCCGTCCTCCACCAGCAGTCCAGCCAGCAGCTCTCATCCCTGCAGATGAAGTAGCACCAGGTGTGTCTGAAAGTGAACAGACAATGTTGGCAATGCCTGTGAGACCACCACCACCTTCAACTGCTTTCAGCGAACAAGCAAAAAAGATAGAGAAACGAAATTCTTGCTTGGCCACAGCCAATGCTAAAGATCTCTATGATATTTTCTACAGTAGTGGTGGAAAGGGTTCAGCTGACAGCAAGCTTGCAAGTTCTGCACTTCCAAATGGAGAAAACCCTAACATAACAAAACCTGCAGACTTACCTGCAAATCACAGAACAAATAGTAGCTCATCCTTGTTGAAAGAGGATTCTGAGAATGTGGATTCCTCACAGTGTAATAATCAAATGACAGGGAGTTTGGTTCCTGTTGAGAATCAGGCTGAAATGAACAAGAAGTCATTTCAGCCTCACCTATCAGAAATGCCAGTCACAGAATTACCAGAAAAAAACCCTGTTCCTGGTATCCAGATGCCTGCAGAAATTGGGCTTGTTGATACAGGAGATGGAGAGAAGGCAGGCAGTCTGGAATTCTGTGATCTACAGAAAACTGAGGTCCAAGAGAAGGTTGGACAGGAACATGGAAATAAATCTCCAGTTAAAAACACAAATGTTCCTGGTACCTTGGAGAAAGATACAAAGATGAAAGACTGGGAAATAAAAGCAGTAAAGCCTAAACATAGCCTACACCCAAAGACTTTTTTACCTGAGACACAGAAGGAAATTCAAAGTTTGGGAAATTCCCATTTGGTAGAGGAAAAGTTAAATGATAACTGTAGAACTCACTCAGAAACTCATTGTCCAGACTTTCTCTGGGGCACTTCCAGAGCTAGTAATGGAAAAGAACAGATAGTCGCAATTCATTCTTGTTCTGAAAGTGGTTGGGGTCTATCAAATACTCCAAAGCCAGAAATAAAATCTGGTTCTAATGAGGTTAATGCTTCAGAGTTGATAGAGGGACAGAGAGAAACTGTAAGTACCCTATTGGAACATCAAGAAAAGGTTCAACCTAAACCTTCAGGCCATACAGCATTAGATAACCAAACCCAGAAGCAGGGAATTGAACGGTTAGTCAATACCTGCTCAAACATGGTTGAACTCAGATCTAGTCTAGAATTAGTAGCTGAAAATGAAAAGAAGTCATTAGGACACACTGGGTCTGATGCAAGATCAGATAATTTTCTTTTCAAGAGACCATCAGAGGATGTGAAACACATGATGAGTCCCTCCCAAAAAGCAGAGCTTGAGTTGAAAACCACTGATTTCGGTTTGGGAGACAATAAGGTAAAACATGAATGTTTCAGCATCCTTTCAGCAGGACTTTTAAAGGAAAATACAGAAGAAGTCACAAAACTAGAAACTATTGCATCCATTAGGCTGGAGTCCAGTAAAGTTAGAAAACTGGGCATTGAAAGAACAGTGAATGATACAGAGATTACTGATTTTGCTACACTGACTTCTGGTAGTTGTGAAGATAAAATTTGCACACGGATTTCTCAGAAACCTATGCTGCAGCCTGGATCACAGACCTCAAATAGTGACACTACAGAAGTGGTCATGCCAGTTCTAGAAATGCAGGGCATTTCTCCCGCATCTGAGATATTTGTGCAAGTGAAGGACAACGAAGGTAGCACTGTTAAAATGCCATTACTGAGTTGTGACAGAGGCAGCACAGAAAGTCGGGCTTCTGGGTGCGTGGAAACTTTAATGCCTGGGCTCAAAGAAACACATGGGAAGGTGGGTGGCTCAGGAGGCAAGGGAATGTGCACCATCCAGAGCAAGAAGACTGAGCAAACAGAAGCTCCTGACAGTAGATTGGAAGCTACAGTGAATTCAGGAATTGCTGAAAGCATAGCAGAAAGCCCAGTGGGTTGAAGTAGACCCAGCCAATCCCAATATTTGAGGAGCCAGAGCTGGGATTATGTATATGGTTTTTGTTTATTTTTCTTTCTGTTCCAGCTGAGAGTTTTGGGTGTACTTTGCATTCTGTGGTAGGACTTGACTAAAATGAAACGTAAATCATCAGAAGGCAGTCACATTATTCTGTATATAATTAATTGTGTAAAATGTTTTTTCATGTGAATTTTTTGGCCAATTTCTTTTCTACACTCTGCTATTAAAATGGAATCTCGTTTATAATGCGTGCGTCTTCTTTATTTTGGGGGCTGTTATTCTTTGACCATTTCTGGGTGATTTCCAGCTCACCCAGTTTGTGTCAGTAGCACCATGAGTAGCCCAGCTGCTGAGACAAGCTCAAGAACAGCAAATTAGAACTGAGGAAATGGAGACTTGCAGAAGAACTAAAACTGAAAATTTCTTTGAACTGTAATGCATGGGTTTGTTTACTTTTGTTGTTTGAAATGCAGGAATGTGTTTAGAGTTGATTTTGTTTGTCTATCTGTCTCTGTGATTTGTAATTACTGTTGTTATTACATCTGTACTTAAAGTGTTTCACTGTATTGTATAAGCACATGTATGGATGCCACATCACTAAGCAAGGGGAGAAAATCTGTCCCGACTGGCTTTTGGAGAAGAAAACTAATCGGTAAGGCTCTGTGGCCTGACACCTGGACCAGACATATTAAGGTCACTTACGTGATTTGAAATGGGCTTTCTTTAATTTTATTGTGATCCAGTAACTATTTGTGTTAAATCATTTAGCAGCTGACCTGCTCTGAAGAAGTAGAAGATCAGAACCCTGGTGTCAGGAATTGGACTCGCTTCATGTGATACAGACACATGCATGCCTACCCTGAATGGTCCTTGAGCTATTAAGTGTGATGGTTCTCATTTGTATAGCCTGTTAAAGACTGAAGTATTAAATGTGTTTCCTTGGATAAATATAACATTTTTATTTGTAAATTGTTTAAAAAAATAAACATAAGGAGGTCAACAAGGCTTTCTTCTTGCTTTTTTTTTCTTTAACTCAGTAAAAGTGTTTTATTTAAATTAGTTTCTGACTCCTGTAATAGTTGATAAAATCAAGAAACTGTAGAGGATGAAGATACTTAACAGTTAGCCTGCTCAATAAAAAACAGTGTATTCCCAGCTGAAGTTGATGGAAGAACTACTACCAACATCATCAGTGGAAGTTTGTTTGAAGTCCTGATCCCTTTGTAAAACCAGAGGTGGGGCATCAGGGAGGGACCCAGCAGAACTTGAATTTCTGTAATCACTGCCTGCGCATGGACCTCTGGAGAAGGCAAAATCGCCATTTGTTTTCGTTTTCCATGACTGTGTGTGAGGAAGGTATGAAACGTTTCTCAAAAGACTTACGGTGGTTTTCATATAAGAAATGTAAGAACTGTCTAAGCTGAATTTGGAAATCTAGTATAAATGGTCCAGTCAACAGTAAAAAGGTAATTAAGAAGGGAAGAGTGTTCTGAGATAGTATCTTTGAGCTGGTTTTATGATGTTAAGCAGTTGCTGCATTAAAATCATAGGAAATCTTTGTTAGTATCATTGCCCTACTTTCTGATTTACTGTCAAAACCAAAGATAACAAGGTTTGACATGCTTTGATAGTTTAAAATGGAGTTGGGCAATGAGTAGAGATTGATCAAATCCTGGTTTATAAAAAAGTCCTTTGTAGTTGCTTCTTGCTTTTCTTCTGTATTTTTTTATTATATACCTGAGTTTGCTTGTTTACATTTGACAGATGATTTTTTTCCCCACATTTTCTTTCCAATTTTTTCAGTAAAGTGCCTGGTCTCTTGTAAATCCTCAGAGGAAGATTTCCTTACGTACCTTGTGTTGAGAGATATAAGTGCAGGGAAGGGAAATATTAAAGGGAAGGCTGAATTTTTCTAGACTTCTGCACTTTAGATGGTGCTATTGTGGAACACACACGTGCTTTCTGGTTTGTTTCTTTTTGCAGATTGGTTTTCATGAAGGTCTCAGTGCATACAATGACAAATGAAGTAATCTGGACAGTCTTCTTAAGACAACCTTATTCAATGCTGTGTTATCTGTGTGGAACTTAATTAAAAAAATATTTTTTGGGAAAGGACAATATAATTCTGTTATCCTTCTTCTGTGCTCTACAGTTGCTTCTACAGATAGTGGTCCTGGTCAGTGCTGGGCATGAATGGAGAGCACCAAGGGCAAGCAAGAACTTTGCAGGAGAGAAACTGGGAATTGTTACCCCATATATGTCTAAAGCTTTCCAGAATCTGAACTTTCCTGTGGTCTAAATACTACTTCTCTTTATGCCCTTTATTCTATCCCTGAGGGGAGGTAGGGCTCTTTACTCCTGGAACAAAGATTAACTTGGTCTCCTTTGGGGAAGGAGTAAACAGTAATCCTTGGACCTCTGGAATGGACAAAGACATAATGGGTGGTGTAAGTGATGGCATCTAGGCAGACTGGCATAAAAGAGGCATTAACACTGTAATTTCATTAAATGGCATGTATTTTTATTTATGTATTTTTTCTTTTTTTTCTTTTTTTTTTCCTTTATTTTTTTTCCTGTGGTTTCCAGAGGCTTGCAGTAAATGATTTATCCACTGTACTCGTTCCCTGTGCTGGCAGAGCTGTAGCATAGTGCACTGACTGGGAAACCTAATTTCTAGGCTGGCCTTGGACTCTTCCAGATCCTCAGGAGGAGGGGTGAGTTAATGGGGATTTACTTGTCTGTTTGAATGGTGCAATACATTACCTCTCCTTCCTGACGTAGTTCTCTAAAAACTGCATAAGCATAAGAAGTTACCTTTTTCTTGGTTTTCAGAAAGCTTTTGATAGGAAGGAAACAAACATAGTTTAAATATTTCTATCTTTACACTACTTCGAACCAGGCACAAATACCTAGTAAATTCAAAGAACAATGGGTTAACTCTTAAGTCTTCATTTATGCTGTAACCTTTAAGTTTGTCATGATGGAGGCTGGCATATCCTTTCTCCTGGATGAAGTTTGTTGCAAAACCAAGCTTGATTAAGAAGCAGTGGGAGAAGAGACGTAGAAAAGCTGTGGTCATCCTATTAATCTGTTTTAAGGCCAGGTGGGTTTTTCTTAGTTCTTCCAGTGTCTTTGAATGTACATTTGGAAAGGAGAAGAAACTTGCAAATGTTTTAGGCAAAATACAGTCATTTTTCCTGGGGTAGTCTGCTGGGTAGGTAAACCTTGCTTCTAGCTTGCTGGAATCTTGTCCTTGACTAAGTTTTAACTAAGCAGTATATAGGCTTTTGGGGGGATTTTTTGTTTGTTTTAGAATTTTAAACAGCATGTGATCAGGGAAGAAATGTAGCGACCATCATTCTGTTAGTAACTTTTTTCCAAATGCATTTGTGCCCTAGTGGTAAAAAGTGTAAGTAGTAGATTAAGATATAAGATCTCTGCTGTTTGGCACAGATTTTCCAGAATCATCATCCCTAGAAGTATTCAAAAGACACGTGGATTGGCACTTGAGGACATGGGTCAGTGGTGAACACAATGGTGCTGGGTTAATGATTGGACTCAATTATCTTAGAAGTCTTTTCCAATTTTTGTGGTTTTAATATTCCTTAATTTTTGCCAAGGGTGAAAATAAATGCCTAATCCTTATCTAAGAGAAGCTTCACAAAGAACTTAAATTTTCTCATGGAAACAGTAGGAAATGTGGCCAAAGGTCAATTATTTTTTTATCCTGGTAAATCCCAGACAGTTTTTAGAAATACCTGTGAAAGTAAATGATGATAGCAGAAGTTTTTTAAAAAAAACTCCACAACCATCCATCAAACAAGTGCATCCCAAAGCATGACAAAACTGTATTTCTTTAGTGCAGAGGGCAAGAGAATCACCAAAGACAGGTTTTCATGTGGCACCTGATGTAATATTCTGTTGGTTTATTATTCTCTCAGAACATTACAAAAAGGGTTAAAGGGAGCAAAATCATTCTGTGAGAGAGAATTCGGTCCTTTTGTGCCTGCTGCATGGTTAATGTGCAAACATGCCAGCAGTGTGGGAGTTTAAAGCAGCCATAAAATTTATTTTACTTGACTCCTCTGCTTCTGTCTGGCATGAAGAGAGAGATGCAAGTTATGATTGCTAGACTATTCTTTCTGTCAGCTGTTTCCAGACAATATGGATGTATTCATGTTTGTAACCAACTTGAGCAGGGTAACGCAGCTGTTACATTCTGCCTTAGAGCAGATATCCAAGGCTCCACAGTTTGAATTAGTTTCTGGCTTTTGTTTCCTGATCCCACCTCCACCTCTTCTTGGGCTGTCATTTTGCTTGTGATGAGAAGGTTGATTACTGTATGTTAGCAGTTCTAGGCACTGACAAAATGAGTCAAGCTGCTGTTACAATTCCCGTGAAGCTGTCCATCAACTGGGGATGCAGAGAGCAGAGCCATTAGAGTTGGTTGGGCAGGTGGTGGAGAACAGTTGAACACCTACAGGAAATAAAACCTGCATCAGAGCTGCCTCAAGGCAAACAGTATTCCCTTTCCCAGCAGCCTGACTGAAGAGTCTTAATTTTACAGACAGTAGAGCACACAGGATAATGTTTTCAATTCTTAATCAAATACAGTTTTTCTTCAAGAAACTGCTTTTGTGTGGGAGTTTCAGCCAGAACCTGAGTAGCACTGAAATACTACAAGCCATTTGTGTTACCACCCTGTTTAATTTGCTTACAAACTTTAGATGACTGTAGAAACAAAATAACACTTTAGGAGCCAGGGTAGCTGTGATGGATGTATAAGCCCTGTAATAGCTCTCTGGCAAAGAAATGAATAGGGATAGTCTTCATATCAGATCTCACATTAAGCTCTATTCATATCCTTTCAGAGATTAAAAAAACAGGAATTAAACATAAATGCCAATAATTAGATGAGTCTTGTAGCTAGGCACCTGCAAGATGGGTATTTAGACATGCTTGATTAATGGGGAAAAAAATAAAAAGTCCATTAGCTAAGGAATATCAGTCACTGCATTTTCTCTTAAGAACTGAAGGCTTTATGCAATTAAACCCATTTAATATGGTGTTTTCCAGGTAGTGTTCAAATTTCATGTCTTCTACTAGTTAGTCTCACATGTTATATTGCTTTACCAAGGTGAGAGAATGGTTCAAAATCAGTGTTATCTCTGTCATGTCCAAGCTAGGGTTACAAAAATAATTCACACTTCTTTCTATTTTATGTATTCAGTGCAATGAAGTCATGCAATGGATTCAGTTTGGCTGGGTGAAAAAAAATTCCCATATTTGCATTGCTGTAGTCCTTCATCATTCACATTTGATCTGTCTGGCATTTGATACAAGATAGAGTCATAGACAACCTGCCTCAAGCTGCTACAATGTCTACAGAAGAGAGATCATCCAAGATAGTAAATTATGTGTAATTACTTCTTCAAGAGCTGAATTTGTGCTTCAGAATGCAAGAAAAGCTTACAGGTTGAAGGTTTATTTTGGGTTTGTAAGATGAAACCTTATGCTTTACATGGTTAGCATCCTGGACTAAAGCATCAAATTCAAATATCAAATTCATATCAAATATATGGCTTTTAGTTATCCTACTTCTTACAAATCCCTTCTCCTGGTGAACTGGCTGCATTCACAGTGTGTTGATTCATTTTGCATTACACTTGTGTTACAACCCATCCCTGAAGTAACTGAGGTTCTTGTTAATAATACATCCCTTGGGGTGGATTAGAGTGAAATGACACTAAATGACCAGTGTTTATATATATATATATATGCCAGGTTTATTTCAGAACAGTTTGGTTGCAAAGGATAGGAGGTATGTAGCTGGTTTGATTATTATCTGTAGAAATATAACGATACAGAAGCAGAAAAATAACATGTAAGAAAATGAAAAAGAAAACAAAAAAGAGGATAGGTGAAAGGCCTCAGAAATTTGAGTAATTTGAGGGCACTTTGGGGATCTTTATGGTTTATGACACCTTCTAAGAC